GGGATCAGGTATCAGGCATCAAAGAACATTATATCATTGTGAATGAGGGGGAGTGCGGGGTGAAGACCCAAAGCCCATCTGTAGCCAACTGGAAGGATCTTACATAAGGATCCTTACAGAAGGATTTCAGGGTGCAGTATAGCAACGATGAAACATACAACTTTCTTCTAGTTCTTTAATGCTACCTTCCCCCTACTATCATGACACCAGTTCTACCTTACAAATCTGGCTAGACCAGAGACGTATACTGGTACAGATAAGAACTGGAAACATAGGGAATCCAGGACCGATAAACCCCTCAGGACCAATAATGAGAGTAGCAATACTAGGAGGGGAAAGGGAAGGTGGGGTAGAAAGGGGAAACCGATCACAGGATCTACATATAACCCCCTCCCTGGGGGACAGACAACAGAAAAGTGGGTGAAGGGTGACATCGGACAGTGTAAGACATGAAAAAATAATAGTTTATAAATTATCAAGGTTTGTTAAGGAGGGAGGGTGGGAGAAGGAGGGGCTCAAGTGGAAAGAAAATGTTTTGAGAATGCTGATGGCAACAGATGTACAAATGTGCTTGACAAAACAGATGTATGTATGAATTGTGATGAGTTGTACGAGCCCCCAATAAAATTTAAAAACAACCACCACAACAACAAAAACTTTCTTTTTAAAACAAGTCCTTTAAGTCCTTGCTGGAGTCGCAGCACCATAACTCCCTTTCCAGGGAGCTTGTTAGAAATACAGGATATCAGGCCTCTCCTACAACTACTGAAATAGGATCTGCACTTTTTAACAGATCCCCAAGCAAGTCTTAAGCACATTAAAGTTTGAGAAGCACGGATTAGATACCTGTGATCCAGAACTAAACATTACACTGATTTCCCCAAGAACACCTGCATTTCAACAAGCTGTGAAATGAGGTACTCTCACAACCAGAAGATTTTAAACCAGTTTCTTCTATGAGCAAATCTATGATGCCAAGGCAATTTTAAGAGCTATTGTGCTGGGTCTGCACATATGGAATTTTTCTCTGCTTTTTAAGCTGGGTAAAGAGAAGCCCTACTGAATGATGGAATTTGACAGAGGGATTGAAACACTCTGCACCAGTGCCATCTGGCATGACGGCCCAGGCTAGTTTTTGACGCAGGCCGGTTGGCAGTACACATGACAAACTAGGACACTGAGGGATGTATGTCACTTGTCTTGACTTTGGTGGCTTTGCTTCCAAAGGCAGAAAGGCAGGATTCCTTTTCTAGCAGATAGATCCTGAGTGAGAAGCCTAGGAAGGGTCTTCCCAACTAGCTACTCCTTGTTCTGGAATTGGAGGCCACATACAGTCTCATGCAGTCTGGTGCAGGAGAGGTCTGACTCTTCTCCTTTCCAGACAGGGGTCATATCCTCAGCTCACCCTCTCGTCCTGCTTCTTGCCCTCCTCCGAGTGCTTCTGCAGTGCCACTCTGAGGGACTCTCTGAGGAGCTGCACTTCCACTTCGGAAGCAGAGAGTTTCTTTTCAAGCTCCATCTTTTCTTTGCTCAAGGCGTCAGTCTTCTGTGCAAACTGTGCGCGTAAGAAAGTGTTCTCTCGCTGCAGTTCCTGCCAGAAAGATTCTCAACATGTAACTGTTGCCTGCCTTCACAAGCTCATATATATATTTGACTTATTCCAAGCAGTGATTTTCAAAGGGTGGTCCTACAACTAACAGCATCAGTAACACTTGGAAAATCATTAGAAAGGCAAATTCTTGGGCTCAACTCCCGGACCACCCACTGAATTAGGGTGGGCCCCATAATCTATGCTTTCCCAAGCCCTCTAGGGCAGTGGTTCTCAACCTTCCTAATGCTGCGACCCTTCAACACAGTTCCTCATGTTGTGGTGATCCCCCAACCATAAAATTATTTTTGTTGCTACTTTATACCTGTCATTTTGCTACCGTTATGAATCGGGTGACTCCTGTGAAAGGGTTGTTCGACCCCCAAAGGGGTCACGACCCACAGGTTGAGAACCGCTGCTCTAGGGGATTCTGCCTGACGCTGAAATTTGAGAAACACTGTCTTAAAACAATTACCAGGAGTTTCATATCAGTAGGACAAGGTAGAGAAGACTGGGTCTTAAGTCCCACCTTTTTTCCTTAAGATCTTAGGTTCTTCCTCCCCAGTATTTTTCACCAGCAAATTGGAAGATCCAAGTAGACTTTAGCTAAGGACCTTTCCTACACTAACATTCTGATCCTATGAGATGCAACACCATCTTACTAGGCTCAGGAGATAGCAAAGCCAGTGCTATGTCATTTAATATTCATTCACTCAAAAGTCCAAACAGTCCAGGAGGCTTCTCTTCTAGCTATCAGCACCCAGCCATTTACCTCCGTGTGCACGTGGCTTCCGTCCGCTGCTCCTGCACTGGGGGCAGCAAAACGAGAATGGCTCTAAGTCCTTCAGCATCCTGCAGCTCCCTTCCTTTGGCCTGAGCTGGCATAGCACAGAGCCCTACCTTCCTCGTCGTCTCCAAACAATGTCCCAACACTAAGCCTTGAGGATTTTCACCTGATTCTACCACAAGCTTCGCCTGCCCCATAAGGGCACAGCAGGGGGTGCTTTTTCTTTGAAGGCAGGAGCACCTTACATACTTGGTCCTTTAAAATTTTTCTAGATGACCTAACTGTGCCAAGAATGATGGTCAGCAGAATGCCCTCCTGGCTGACAGTGCTTACCTGCAGCCTCAGCAAGCAGACATCCCCCAAGGGAGCGGGACGGCCCAAGAGGGCACTATGGACTTGTAGTTCGCTCTCTCGCACTCTCTGTTCCAGCTGCGAGATGTGTTTCCGTTGCCTGCAAGAACAAGTAGAATTGGGTTTAGGGTCTTGATGTTAGTCTGCTTGTAATATAAGCCCCTCCCCAACTTTCCTTTGAGGGGCTCTAGTGGCACAACGGTCGGGTCAAGTGCTTGGCTTCTAACAAAGGTCGTCAATGGTGCAAACACAAGTCACTCTATAGGAGCAAAGACCTGGTGGTGACTCCCATAAAGATCTACACTCCAGGAACCCTTTGGGGCCATGAGTCGGAATCGACTCTGGCAGTTTCTTCGAAAGACGGCCCAAGTCACATGACATAAGCCAAGACTGTGGGTTACAGAGGCACCGTTTTGCTGAAGGATGAAGAGCAAATGGCAAAGCTGACTGGGAACATGAGCAAAGATCAGCTGCAGTGAAGCAGCTGCCCACTCAGGCAGCCCCTAGGGCCACTGCAGAGAACTACAAGTGGCCTGCCAGATACATGACTCGTCTGCTTATCAACCCACTTCTACCATCCGGCAAGGCTTGGGCACCAGCAGAGGGCCACACACTACCCTTGGGAAAACCTCAGTGGGAGCTGGGAAAGCAGAGGCTGGTCTTGCGGCACCCCATGCCCTCTTACTTGTCAATGAGGAGCTCCTTCTCCTTCAGGTGGTGTTCATTACTGTTCAGGATACTGATCCACTGTGCTGGCTCCAAAGTGGGCAGCGAAGGAACAAAAGCCGCGGGATGGTGGCACAGAGCTCCGTTCTGAAGCTAGAAGACAAGCAGGTTCAAGAGGTGGTTTGACCCGGACCTACAGGCGCCTGACAACACCTGAGCAACACCAAGTTCTGCAATCAGACTGTTTGGGTCAGTCTGAGCAGGTCCAGCGTTTATGAAATAATTTTAGCTCTGATGTACAACTCGAAAGAACCTGCCGCCCAGGAGGCTTCTGCCAGCTGGACACTCCCTGCTCCAAAAGGCTCCAGTTTCTAAAAACAGGCCAGTTATCTTTCAGTATCTAGCAACAGAAGCAACCAGAAGTTAAGATGTCCTTACAAGCCAGGGGAGGGGAATAGGAGTTTTCTATTGTTTTGTGACATTTGTTGAAGTTTTCTCAATGTAAGAGGGCTCTCCCCACACTTCCTACTTGAGTTCCCTGTTCCCATTTGTCTGCTTCTCCTATTCTTTCCTGCCTTCTGAGCTTTGTTTTGAGCAAACGTCCTTCTGGTCTTACATGGCTCGAGATGTCAGTTCCTCCCATGTGCTCTTGTTCCCTTTATAGGATTAAAACACAAACAGCACAGTGGGCAAGAACACAGGGTTAGGTTAAAGACGATTTTTATATCCTAGCTCTGCGATCCTGGACATAGACCACTTATTCTAAGAACCTGGTGAGTTTGTACGTTTCCCTCCTCAGGGTGCTGGGAAGATTACATAAGATTGCACGTGAAAGTCCTTGCCTAATGACTGGGAGGTAGGAAGTGCACAATCAGGATTGGCCTCTGCCTTTCCCTCCTACCTCCCTCCCTCTCTACAGTGGAGAATCTATCTGCTTTAGACAGATTGCAAGGTCAATAAGCTACAAGTCAGTCTTCATTTCCATCAACTTCATTTGCTCTTACAAACTATACTTTCTTTATATATATGACAAAGGCAATATAGCTACAAGATCCAAGGAAAGAAGAGCCTCTACCTGCATCTGCTCCATTTGTAAACGGATCAACTCCAGCTGCTGCCGACAAGTGCTGAGCTCACAGGATTGCTCACGGGGATGCCAAGGGTCAGGACTCGGCAGCCATACCTGAGAGGGTAGAGGTTTGGAGAGCCCAGGAGCCGGCTGCAGTCCCAAAGGAAGCAGCCCAGTGCTGCTCGGGTGCGGTCCATTCCGCTCACACACTGAGCCACTGCCTGGTGCCTTCTTGGACTCAGGTAATCCTTTGTACAGCTCCTTGTTTGAGTCCGCTCTTGGATTGTGGAAGTGGACTCGGTAGTGGGGATCTGAATAGAGTGTCTCCATGATCGTTGATTGATTGAGGGTGGCCTCCATGTTGGGAGCCTCAAACTTCCTCACCTCTTTCTCTCTCTCATGGCCCACTGCTGGAAACCAGGACTGCTCAACTCCGTTTTCTCCAGCAGCCCCACAAAGATACAGCAGATCTCTCGACAGAGCTGGGCCACGCTTCACTGTTGCCAGGTCTCCATTTCTCGTCATCCCCACACTTCCAGCTGACCCTGACAAAGGCGGTTTGGAGGACGAGGGGCCAGGAGGTAAAGAACTTGGCTTGGCAGGAGAGGTCCCCAAAGTAGAAGGCATCACATGGGCTGTTGGAATGGTTACGTGATTTTTGATGGGCTGGAAAGAAGGGCTGCTACTTGAGCTGCAAAAATCTGCAAAGAGAATAGTCTTCCATAAGCCAACTTTGAAACAGCAAGCTTTCTTGAGTTTGGCTGCAACGCCAGATGTTCTCTGCCTGAGACCGGGCAGAGGGCACTATCGTTAGAAGAGTCAGGCAAAAAGGCACAGCAACCTAACAGGGAGATGTGTATTCCAAAATCTCAAATGACACCAAGTTCACAAAAGTACAACCAACAAAAGGCAACCCTGGCTTCACTTTCGTGTACTGGAGTAAAAATATCCCGGCAGTCAACAAAGCTGGAAACCAAACTATTCAACAAAACAAAACAAAACAAAAACTACTTACTTAAAGGAAATGTATTAGGTCCTACACTTCTGGAAGATGGACAACTCTGAGCTATATTCCAATCTGATAAAAATCCACTTTCCAAGGGCTGCCAGAGCCCAGCAAAGGTGAGCAATGAGTTGAAACTATCTCCAAAGAGTAAGACGAACGTGTTCGGCCTCCAGGGCAGGGAATATGGCATCTGAGCCAGGGCTCTGGTCTCTCTCCTCCCACCCCAGACCTGACTTTAGGAGGTTATTCTTAGTAACGCTCAGGTTTCACTCGAGCAGTGAGCACTCCCAAGTGGGCACACACTAAAATCCACTCTTTTCTTTTTGGCTTTTCACACTTGTTCCACTGTTGGTATCTATGATTTTATTTTGTATTAATAAATCACTTTATTTGGGGCTCATATATAACCCATACATCCATATCAAGTGGACATGTACAAATGTTGCCATCAACAATTTCAAGACTCTTCGTGAGCCCTCTGACATCAGCTCCTCTTAAGGCCCTCCCGCCACCCTTCTCGCAAACCCTTAATATAATATGTATTATTATTTACATGTATAGTACACTGCCCATTCTATCCCTTCACCTACAATCCTGGTATCCATGCCCCTCGAGGGGGGAGGTGTCTAACTATGGTTTTTAACTTTTCCTTTAAACTGGGTTTGCTTCCTTTGACTCCTGCCTGGTCTTGGGAGAGGCCCTGCTGAACTTCATATTTTTACCTATTTCTAGCTTTCAAGCGCTGCCCTGAGGAACACTACAAGATCATAGAACCACCGTGTCAGGGTAGTGACTGCAAACAAATGACAAGACAGGAATGTGAGACTAAAACTATCTGTCCTTTTCCAAACACATCTACTTTTTAAAAATCATTTTACTGGGGGTTCTTACAACATTCCATATATCAACTATATCAAGCACATTTGTACATATGTTGCCATCCTCATTTTGTAAACATTTATTTCTGTTTGAGCCCTTGGTATCAGCTCTTCTTTTTTCCCTCGGGACCCCTTGATAAATTATAAATTGTTTTCATTTTTTAAAAAATTTAATCATTTTATTGGGGGCTTGTACAACTTTTATGACAATACATACATACATCCATTGGGTCAAGCACATTGTACATTTGTTGCTATCATCATTCTCAAAACATTTGCTTTCTACTTGAGCCCTTGGTATCAGCTCATTTTTTTCCCCCCTCCCTCCCCATGTTTTCTTATCTTACACTGACCACTTTCTCCCTTCACCCACATTTCTGTTGTTCATCCCCCTGGGGGAAGCAGATTGTGCACCAATCATTGCGTGTTCTCCCTTCGTCCCCTCCTTCCCCCAACCTTTCCCCTACCCTCCTGGTATTGCTACTCCCATTTCTGTTCCTGAGGGGTTTATCTGACCTGGATTCCGCGTGTTGTGAGCTCTTATCTGTACCAGTATACAAGCTCCGGTCTAGCCAGAATTGAAAGGCAGGAATGGGGTCATGGTAGTGGAGGGTGAGGAAGCTTCAAAGAACCAGAGGAGTATTGTGTGTTTCATCGGTGTTACACTGTGCCTCGGATGACTCATCCCTTCCTTGTGACCCTTCTGTGAGGGGATGTCCTACTGTCTACACATGGGTTTTGGGTCTCTGCTCCAAGCCCCGTCATTATCAACAATATGTTTTTTTGTTGTTTGGATCTTTCGGTGCCTGTTACCTGATTCCATCCACACCTCATGATGGCACAGGCTGGTGTGCTTCTTCCACGTGGGCTTGTGGCGTCTCTGCTAGATGCAGCTTGTTTGCTTATGCCCCCATTTTGTCTTCAGTCATCATCTGGAGGGGCGCATCATAGAATGCCAGACTGTTACAACAAAGTGTTCTTGTGTTGAGGGAGGGCTTGAGCAGAGGCCCAAAGTCTGTCCATTTCCTCAATGTATTGCCATATAAATATATGTACATAGGCCAAAATCTATTTTTATGCATTAATATATTTACCTAAGTGTACACCGATGTTTATATATGTATCCATAGCTTTGCTTCCTAGATCTTTCCTCTGTTTCCTTTTACCTTCCTCCTGCCCCACCATCTTCTGCCTCTTAGTAATTCCTCTCAGCTAGATTGCTGTTGTTCCAACTACGGAATCTCTACATTCTCCTCATTGCTGCTTTTAATACTCTAGTTGTTCCCGTCCATGGCGTTGCTTGCTCACGGCTCCTTTCCCAGTTCCCCCCAGAACTGTGAGTCTGTTGCTTTCTCCTCAGGCTTGCTTCCTTGCCTTATCTTATATTGGTGGGCAAAGCAACAATAACCGAGACAAAACAAAAGCAAAATGAAAAAGCATACATAATTCCCGGCCTGTCCACTGACCTTTACGACTATCTCCCCACCAGTCCTGGAGGGTTCCGGGAACCGCCCCTCCTAGTCTGAAGTCTATTTTGGCGGCTCCTCAGGAGTGACTTTCCTTTGCTCCCGCCAAACACATCTACCTTGAAGAGTAGGCCACTCTTCTGTTTCTCTATTTCTTAAACACCAACCACATCAGCTAACAAGGTGACAGATATTATAACTTTTCCAGAATTGTAAGTATTGATCAGGTATGGTCTTCTCATTAGTTTTACCCAGCCACACTATAGTTTATAATATGTAGAATACTTAATTTTACAGGGACAGTAACACTTTTGATTGCAGAAGGGATGGTAAGACTGTTAAAAGTCGGGAGACTAGAGTCTGACAACTAGCTGTGAGACATTTGGCATATTATTTACGCCCTCATGGAATTTTTATTTTTCACCAGCAAAGAGGAGCTGGATTTAGTGATTTTTAAAGTTCTCTCTATCTCAGTACTCATGATTAATTCTACTCAGCATTTACTGATCATCACCTCACATACACATAGTTGTCAAACTATAAAAATTAAGTGCCAGGATATCTAAGAGTCAATATCATTAATAGAGATTTGGGTGTTCATTCCTTTTATTTTCCCCCAAACGTTTCTAAATGACTCTTTTTAGACTAGGTTTACTGGGATCTAATTTACATACCACACAATGTAGCCATATAAAGTAATATTTTCAGGACTGTGCGACCACCACCATCATCACTGCTTTCAGCCTCCCCAAAGAAACCCTTTACTCTTTAGCATCCTCATGGTCCCCAACCCCCCCAGTGCCAAGCAACCACTCCTCCATGATCTGTCTCTACAGACTGGCCTATGCTGGGCATTTCATATAAATTAAAAAAAAAATACACATACCCGCACACATAGATAAATAGGCAGGCTTCCACTTTTTAAAAAACATCTTCTACGCTCATATATTTTGTAGCTTGTACCAGCACATTTCTCTTTATAGGTGGGCAACATTTCATTATATCTGTCACATTTTATTTATCAGTTGATGAACATTTGTTATTTCTACTTCTTTGACTATCATAATATATCTGCGAACATTCATGTAAAAGTTTTATGTGGAAGTATGAATACTTCTTTTTAGTATACCTATGAGTAGAATTGTTGGGCCAAACAGCACCACTCAATGTATACAGGTTCCAATTTCTCTAAGTATTTGCCAATACAGCCATCCTAGTGGGTATGCATAGGTATGTTTTCCATTCACAGTATCCAAGGTTATTAGTTTTATAGCTTTATTAAAGTCATTCACTCACTTTGAAATTTGTAAACGGAAAAATATTTCATAGGGGTTTCAAGTGTAGTAATGAAATAATATAATAAAATTAGCTAATCACCAAAGTATCCAATAATGGTATTTAATTATTATCATTAGATCTTCTGCCCTCTAGGGACTTAAATATAACAGAGGGGAAAAATAAATATACTTGTAAAATATTGTCTGGCAGTTCTTAATTAAGGATCAAAAACAGGAGGCAGAGCCCCGACAATGTAAGACTGCAAGAGAAGGAGGTCAGAAAGGGGTGGAAGGAATGGAGGAAGCTGTAGGATGGCACCAGATCTTGAATAAGAGTCGAATATCAGGGAGGGAGGATCAGAGGAGGTGGGACTAACACAACTTAAAGATGGGGGAAAAGGGCAAGACTGGTTTTTAAAACTGCACACTTTCCTAACAGTGTGACAACAGAGCAGGCCGGGACAAGGTCCCCAGTGACTGTGGGTAATAGGTTTCATTGGGAAGGGGAAGGCCAGAGTACAAAGAAGTGAGGCCTCTGAATTTCACCCTTCAAGTAATGGGAACAATTGAGAACTTGCAGGAAAGAGAAACTATGTGAAATCAAGCTTTTAACAAGATTAATCTGGCAACAGGGGGAAAAGACTTGAGGGTGAAAAAACCTGTTAAAGTTGTTTCCGTTGGGACAAACAGTGGACACAAAGAGCAGTCAACTGCATGTGAGCAGCATGGTTGTCACCGGAGTGAACTGTGTTCCCCAGATGTCATGTGAGTTAGGGTTGACAGAGAGCCCCTCTCCTAGGGCTGACACTCGGCATTTGGACCGTCAGCATCCTACACTCTGAGAACAGATCTGGTCATTAAGGCACCCACTTACACAATGGTGAAGGAAGAATCCAGCAGACTCCTTGAAAGAATGAACTGACCTTACAGATATTCTGAAACTATCTTAATCTAGAAATAACAAACCACCTAGAACACGATCTGCAAAGTATAATATACATTAGTAATCAGACGAGATCGGGCATGTTCAGGGTGGTATGGCCGTAGACCATTAGTAAGCAAACCAGTAATCCACACTTACCCTCTGCAATATCTGAGCATGACGTGCCAATGGCTGTGTCCCCACTGTCAGCTACACTTGAACAGCGGCTAAAACGGCTCCGAAAGGGCTCGGAGATAACTGGGGTCTGCCATTCAGTCACCAGAGAACTGCCCTTTTGAATCACACTGGGACCTGAAACAAGAGACATATCCCACCTTTGATGTGAACCAGCTGATAAAACCCCAAAAGATCACGTAATGAAGAAAAAAAAAAAATCTCAAATCTATGTGAGAATAACAGCACCCAACCTCTTTCTCTCCCGGTTTAATTTCAGCTACTCTGAGCGAGTTAATTTAAATGTAAAGAGCATGAGAGGTGAGAATATACAAGGATAGAATCCAGGAGTAATTCTTATTATCAGATGCCACATCACTTTACAAACATGATTCACCTACCTACTTACTGAAAATGATCACCCACGTTTTAGAGGACACTTGAGATTTGAGTTCAGGTCTTTCTGATCCCAACACACATTCTTTCCTTTGGCAAAGTTGGCTTTTTAATGGGTACTTTTGTCATTCTGAGCATGACAGTTCTTCAGTGTGGAATTCATGCGTTACAGGATGGACCTACATCCACTAGCTGCCAACAGCAAGCCTTATCCCACCCCACAATCATGTGACAATCACAAATACTGCTAATAGGGCGCTCGATTCAGCTGAAAACCACCACTTGATTAAAGCAAGGTATCATCAAGGTGACTTTTAAAAGTCAATGTGAACCTAATTCAATGTTAGGGGTGAGGAGTCAACATGAAAAACTTTTAAGACTTTACTTTGAGGGCAATGTAAAAAAGATGCTAAAATTTCAGAGCAAGTTTAAGACTAAAAACAAAAACACAATTGATAAAATTTGACTTTATTGACTTTTTATAGTTCTTTGAAGGTTGACAGGTAGAAGTATTCAATACTCAATTTACTAACATGCTGGCAAAAACTTCCACTGAAATGAAATTAAAGCAAAGGTTTCAATTCAAACTAATTTTTAAAAACTAGATTTAGATTTCTAAGTTGCATCTGATGATCCATGGAAACAACAACAAAGGGAATAAACCCCAAACCACAGCCATCAAGGCAATTCTGGCGCACAGCCACCCTGCGAGACACACTTGAATCGTCTCTTCGGATTGTCAAGACTCAGTCTTTACAGGAGCAGGCAGCCTCAGCTGTCTTCCTTGGAGTGGGGAGTGGATTTGAACTGCTAATCTTTCATCCAGCAGACCAACACATAACCCAGTAGGACACCAGGGCCCCTTATCACTGCTCTCGAGTGAATTCCAACTCAGATCCTGTGGGGCAGTTGGATTTCCCAAACTTTCTCATCTTTACTGGAGCAGCTGGGGGGTTCAAAATGCTGACCAGGCAGTTCGCAACTAGACGCACAGTCCCCTATACCACAGGGCTGCTTGTTGTTGTTGTTAGGTGCTGTCTAGATGGCTCCGCCTCTTACCGACCTCATGCACAACAGAACGAAATATGCCTATGCCATCCTCACAACTGTCCCTAACAAAAAAAGAAACAAAAATAGAAGTACCGGTAGGTTAAAAAGATGGGAGAAGCACTAAGTTTGTAAGAAAGGCAGAAGAAAGTGGTTTGGGTTCAAAGATAATTTGTTTCCCACTACATCAAAGAGTCTGTAGAAGCACATTTTAAAATTTTAACTCAAACTGATATTTTATAGAGAATCAGTAGTTTCTATTACATGATAAAGATGAAGGATTGCAGCCTTCAATATTGATTATAACTCAATGTAAAGAAAACCAAATTTTGTTGGAATCCACAATCAGTGCTCATGGAAGCAGCAGTTGAGCAATCAAATAACCCATTGCATTGGGTTGTGGATCCCAACAAAATTTGTTTCTTTTTTTGTTAGTTTTACTTCTATTTTTTATTGAAGGCAAACTGAGGTCACAAGCAAAATTTGTCCAATTTACATATATGCAGTCATCTGTAATAATTTCTAATATAAGACATAACCAGCAATCACAGCTAGATTGGTGTGAGATTAACTAGTTACTGAGTTGGTCTAATTCTAGCCAATGGCAAGGAAATTTGAGCTCTTTGTGAGTCTATATGGTTTTATCTCACAACAATTAGATAAGTCTTTTAAAATAGTGGAAATTGAACATGGTCTGTATCACCATGTTCCCAGCCTTCCTACTAGAAACACATCCTACTATTATGACTAATCTTTCATTCTTCACCTCTACCACATTTCCATCCACTCACTCCATATTTACATATACTTACTGTGGTAATAATTTCTTTTTTTAAGAATTAACACCAAACTACTCCCCAGGAGTTGGAGATGGAAAAAGTCCCAAACATCCAACTCCTGCAGGATGGTCTGATCTATTTGTCCTTTGGTATATTCCCTCCCACCTCGGGGTTCTGTGAATTGCTGCGATGTTCCACAGAAGGCACGAGAGGTCTCGGAATGTCTCTTACGATGGAGGGTAACAGTTCTATCCAAAGGTCAGGCAAGGGTGAGCCAGATGCTAAGGCCAGAGGACGCACACCACTCCTGGTTCTTACCAGTGATGAGATCACACCCCTTGCTTCTCATTGGGCTCACTTTATACACCGAAAGATGGCATTGCAGGGAATCCTGCTCACAATTACTCACAGGCAAATCCTATCAGTATCCTCCTCCACAGAAGCCTCTTACCAGACCCATGTAGGGAAAGGTTGTTTGGTAGGAGTTACATGGTACAAATGTAATAAATCTCTTCCCCACCCCTGGACTATATCTTACCTATGTATATGTGACCTGGAATGCATCTTATTTGTGTGTATATTATGCAGGATGTTTCCTGTAAGCACTGACCTCCTACTAATCTTAAATCAGCCTGGCTTTTTCCCAGGCCACTGCAAAGTTTTCTTTCTTCTCTCAGCTGTCGTAGATAATTCCTAACATCCACTGTAAGTAATAGTAACTAAGACCACCATGAAACAAAGAGTTCCCACTCTCTACACTGAGGTCAGAATACAATCTTAGCCCATTCCTGTTTTGTTACCAGATAGTGCCCTCCAAAAACGGGACCACACCTACAAGCGTATGAAACCCAGAATTATTACACAGCACGTAAAGGACCCTAGTAACTTCGTATAACTCACTTACGCTTATTTCAGAAGCCCTCGTGGTTTAACAGTTAAGTGCTTCGGCGCTAACAGCAAGGTCAGCAATTTGAACCCACAGCTTCTCTGTGGGACAAAGATCAGTCTGTTTCAGTACAGATTAACAGTCTTGGAAACCCCTTGGGGGAATTCTACTCTGTCCTAGAGAGTTTCTGAGTTTAAATAGATGTGACAGCACTGAGGTTTTATGCTTATTTCAAATTTTAAGTTTGAAAGCTGAATTTTTTTGGTGCTATGCTTTATCTTATCAATAGCATCTTTATCAAATACTAAGACTATTATTACTTTGAACGAGAGACTCCTGAAGAAAAAGAAAGCTACAAGAAAGGCAGTTGAGCTTTGCTAGAATTACTACATCACCACAAATGTGCACTGTGTGTTTGTACTCCAAAACCCAAACCCAAAGCCACTGCCATCAAGCTGATTCCTACAGGGCCGCACAGAACTGCCCTTTGTATTGCACGGTTGCAGGCCTATATGGGCGCAGAAAGCCTCGTCTGTGGTTGTCAGTCCAACTGTTAACTCACTATGCCACCAGAGCGCCTCATAACTCATAGGAAGCTGCATACAAGAGTGCCTGACACACACACACACACACACACACACACACACACACACACACACACACAAAAGAGTGCCTGGCACTCCACAGACCTTTAATAAATATTTGCTGAATGCTGGCTGACCTGATTCAACAGGTTTAACAACAGCCTGTTACAAGCAAAGCAGTGTGCCTCGGAGGATATAACAGAGGACTGCTATTAAAGCACAGTGGGATCTAAATTTAAATAAAACAAACTCTTCATTAAATAAGATGTATCCCCCTCTTTTCACAAATGCCCTAGCATTCAGTTATTTTTCTAAATGCTACTTCCTATCTGAAATATGCCATATGTACCTTTTTATACTTCATATATCTACTGAGGTTTCAAAATCTTGTGAAACCATGCTCGAGATAAATTTCAAGTTCTACTGAAAACACAAGGATTGTTGGCATTCACAGGAATTCTGATCTTTGTAGGCTGCCAGATGACTGACCCACACAGAGGACTACAAAGACATCATAGAACACAGTAATTTATGCCGTGTTTGTCTGCTTTCAAATGGAAATAGTTCCAAGTCACTCTGTTCTGATCCTCCCCTCCCAATCATGTGGTCTTGATGGAAGCCATACAGAACCAGAGATAAATAACTGTTCCCCCGTTTTTCTATGCAATGTAGTTTCAGTGTATTTTTGTTCTCTATAGCGAGCAACTACTTTCTTGGTGTTTTAAACTATTTAAAAAAAATTCTATTTCAGAGAATGCTTGTCTGTTCAGTATTCCCCTTAAAAAACTTGACTCACCTGGTGAATTGGCCTGGGAGAGTCTCTCACTTGGGTACTTCTCCTGCATGGCCATCACAGTTTTCTGAGCCAACTGTAGAAGGAAGAATCATTTAGCTCTCTCCAGTATTTTTCAGTTCCCTCTAACACAGTTCCCATTCAACAGCAACTGACCAGGCCATAAAGGATATTCAGATATTCTTCCATATGTATTTTCTCTAAAGCAATATATTTTTTAAAGCAAAAGAACACCCAATGCTCCACACATCTTTCTTTTCCTAAATAGGGAAAATCTAAAATCAGACAGAGGTTCGCCAATAATGATACAATTTAGTCCTAGAATTCTTCTAATTACTGCAAAATTAAAATATATTACTTTTGATGAACACATCTTTGCCCTGGATCTTCTTAGCAATGGATAAGTAAAACAAAGACTAATAAATCAAATCAATAGCATCAATTATAAGCAACATAAGACCAATTTCCCAATTTCTTCAGTAATGAAAGTTAATCATGATACACAGAAATTAATAAAACTTTTGGTAATAAGAAGAACCCCAGCTGGGAGCATGGACCTGTTCTCCCCTCATCCCTTAAAACAATTATTTATTCTACAGCAAGCACACACAGTCGTAAAACTAATTCCAACTCATGGTGACCCTAGAGGGCAGAATGGCGCTGCTGTAATGACTTCGAAGGCTGCAAGTCTGTAAGAAAACTGCCACGCGTTTCCCCATGAAGTAACTGGTGGGCTCACACTGCCCACCTCTCAGTTAGCAATCAACCCGCATAGCCGCTGTGCCACCAGGGCTTTTCCCACTTAACAATTCCAAAACTGGAACCCTTAGTAGTAGATGTGGAGAATTCAGCAGGAGTATATACTGTATATACTCATGTATAAGCCAAGTTTTTCAGCATTTAAAAAAAATCATTTTATTGGGGGCTCGTCTGCATCTCACAATCCATGCATACATCCACTGTGTTCAGCACATTTGCAGCCATCATTCTCAAAACATTTGCTTTCTACTTGAGCCCTTGGTATCAGCTCATTTTCCCCTCCCTCCCCACTCCCCACTCATGAACCCTTGATAATTTAAACTTATTTTGTCATATCTTACACTGCCCGATGTCTCCCTTCACCCACTTTTCTGTTGTCCATCCCCCAGAGAGGAAGTTATATGTCCTTTCCCAGAGACTGGTGTCTCCTAATAGTATGTCCAAAGTACGTGAGACAAAAGACACCCTCTTCTACCTAAAGGGGCATTTTCTAGATGTACTTCTTCCAAGATAAATTTGTTTGTCCTGGCAGTCCACAATATTTTCAATATTCTTCACCAAAAACATAATTCAAATGTATCAATTTTTTTTACTTTTCTTTTTTAAAAAAATCATTTTATTGGGTTCATACAGCTCTTATCACAATCCATACATTCATCCATTGTGTCAAGCACATATGTACATTTGTTGCCATCATCAATCTCAAAACATTTGCCTTCTACTTGAGCCCTTAATATCGGCTGCTCATTTTCCCCCTCCTTCTCCCCTCCCCCTCCCTCAT